CTGTCTTGGAGCGCTCTTGGGGTCGTCTCGGAGCGTCTCGGAGCGTCGCTCTCTGAAGATTTTCGAGTCGACCTGAAGCAGAACAGCAACATCGTGAGCACCCATCTTTCATTTGTTTTTATTATTCTCTCAGGTTGTTCACAGGGTCTTGTCTCTGCTGAGGGCTCAGCCGGAGACCTCTTTGAGCGCTTTTTGGATGCTTCTTGGGGCATTAGGGGGAAGTTCGGGGGTGGACAGACCTCCTACCCTGACACGTCGATTAGCGAACTGGCCGTTTTCGGTTCGCGAGAGGGCGTCGCGGCCGTCATTTTGCGGATCCAGGTCCGTCGGTTTCGGTCCTAGGCCGCTTTCTTTAAGCGGAGGTTTGCGAAAGGGAGGTTTGCCCATCGCCGAATATTCAGCACCGAGGCAGCCCTACCAGAGGACAGACAAGCGCCCTGACACGCCCAAGCGTGCGGGAGGCATGGTGGCAGACACGGGGGGCTCGCCTCGGCTCAGCTCGGCCTCCTCGGCAGCTTGATGAGGCTCAGCGGGCCTCCGTCGCGCCCGCGGAAGACCCCCCCGGGAACTGTCGCCCGAACCTCGGAGGCGCGCGCAGGGGGCCGACGCAGGCCCCGCGCCCTCCCCCCCCCCGATGTCGGCGCAGCCGCCCGCGGACAGGGGTTCCGAGGAGCGGCCGTGCCCCCGCAGAGCTTCGAGGATCTCAGGACCCGAGCCTCGAGCATCGAGGAAGGACGACGAGGAGGGCGAGGGACGACGAAGGCCGAGGAGGGGGCGAAGACGACGACGAAGGGCGAGGACGAGGACGAGGGACGAGGTGAGGGGAGGCCGAAGAAGGACGAGGAGGGGCGGCCGGGCTGCCCCGGGTCCCCCCGCGAGAGGTCTGCGGAGGTAGACCCCGAGGTGCACGCGGAGGCCTCCAGAGAGGCCCCCCGAGAGAGGCCCCCGGGAGGCCCAGGCACGTTCGACAGCGCGATTCCTTCGGCCTCGTGCCATCTTCGACTCTCGTGCCAGCTCGCCTCGCCCCTCTCGTCTTCGACCTCGTCGGTCGACCTCGTTCCTCTCGTCTTCTTACCTTTGACCTCGCCTCGCTCCTCTCGTCCTTCGACCTCGTGCCGTCTCCAGGCTTGCTCACACCGCTGTCGCTTGGTCTCGTGATCGAGCTGGTGCCTCCTGCTGCATGGGCTTCTGAGCCTCCGAGCCTCGTCGCGGTGGCTGGCTTTCGTCAGGCAGGTCGGCTGGCCTTCGGAGAGCTGCTCCTGTGAGGTGTTGTGTCGGGTGGTGCCCTCTCCTTCCCCTTCTCCTCCTCGCCCTGCCCGAGGCTGATCCAGGAGATGTGCAGCGGCTGGCGCGCGGGGCTCTGGTGGGGCGGGGCCCGGCCGCGCAGACCCAGGCGTCGGGTGCGGGGGGCCCTCCGTGGCCCTCTCCGGCCCCGCGCGCAAACTTGAGCTGCCCGTCTGTGCAGCCTGCGGCTCTGCTCCACGTCTCCCCTCGATACCAAGCGCACGTTTATCTCGCGGCGTGGCGGCGCCCCAGGGCGAGGTGTTCACGCCGAGGTCGGCGACCGCAGTCACGAACAAATCGGACCCCGTGGGCCGCGTTTCGCGCGTCGACCAAGATGAAGCAACTTGCATTTGATTTCGAGGAGGGTTGTACTCGAGGAGGCGCGCAAAGCCCAGGCCACCTTGGATCAGGATCACCTGTGGCAACCTCCGAAGGGGGGGAAGGGGGCGCCTGAGCACGCAGGGTGCATACAAGTCCACGGCGGCCGTTGGAGCCAGGCAAGCCCCAACCAGCCTGCAAAAGCTGGATCAGTCCAACGGGCTGGATGACCCCCCCCTTTGCACACTTTGAGCTGGGATGCGCGAGCGGCGAGGGCGGGGCAGAGAGGCAGGGAGGGGCCCGGCGACTCGCCCTCCCGGAGGGCGTCGCTGGAGACCGCAGAGGGCGCAGCAGCTGGTCGGGTCCCTCTGCTCGGCCTGACGGCGGCCGACGGCAGGCCCCCCCGGGCTCGCAGCGCGGCGCCGCAGGCCCCGTGGGGCCCTCCCTTGCGCTTGGCCCCCGGCTCGGCGACTGCCTCAGGGGTCTGGTGGTGGTTTCGGGCGACGAGGTCTAGACGTCTCCGCTGCTCCCTGGCCAGGCCCCTCCTGAACCCAGGAGCTGTGCACACCGCTGCTGGGGTCCAGGGGCCCAGCCAGGGAGCGGTGGACGTGCGTGGATTTCGTCGCCCCGAGGGTTGCGCTGGCGTGTGGCCTGCGTTCCGCGTCGGTGGGGGCCTGGGGGGTGCCGCGTTGCCCTCCGTCGGGCCCCCTCGAGGCGCGGAGGAGGCCCAAGGGTGCGGAATTGCAGGCCACACCCTGTGCAGACCCACACCTTTCGTGGCCGCCGACCGGTGGTGGTGCCAGTGTTCCTTGCGCCTGCGTCGCGAGGAGTTCGGGCGACCTGTTCTGGGCATTCCTGGAGGGTTTTCTGGTCTTTGATGCTTCTCGGTGTTCTTTGGTACTCTTGTGCCCCCGGAGGCTTCTGGCGGCCTCTGGGGACCTCTATGGGGACTTCGGGACCTCTTGAGACCTCCAGAGACCTCTGGAGACTTCCAGAGGCCCAGAGATGGGATTTCCTTCGATCTCTGCCGCCGCCCCCTCTGGCCTAGGTGTCGAGGAATCCGTCGCCATCCTCATCGTCGTCGTCGCTGGCCCCCTGGCCGCCCGAGGGGATTTCCCTAGTTTAGTGAGCCCTGCTTGATCCGTTGGGGTTCCAGTGGGCCTCATCTCGGGGCCCCCCATCGGGCCTGCATCATGGCATTCTCACTGCTCGGGCCTCCTGGAGCCTCCTGAGGCGCTCTTGGAGTAGTATTTGGCTCTCTCTTGCGGGCTCTGAGTTCACACGGAAGCCGCACGGGGTCGTTTTGGCTGATGTTTCAAGGGATTCACGCCCCAAGAGCGTGGAGCCATAGCCGTTGATGCATTGCCCTGGAATCGTGCTTCCAGTGCGATTTTCTAGGGATCGTGGCTCTCGGAACGCGGATCCAGTATAGTTCAGTTCGAGGTATCGTGGCCCTGTGAGCGCGAAACCAGTTCAATTTCCTGTGGATCGTGGCCCTGGGAGCGCGGATCCAGTGTGGTTTACGAGGGATCGTGGCCCTGTGAGTGCGGATCCAGTTCATTTTGCTCTAATTTACCAGGCTTCGTGGCCCTGGGAATGCGGATCCAGTGTAGTTTAAAAGGGGTCGTGGCCCTGAGAGCGCGGACCCAGTTCAACTTATTGGGGGTCGTGGCATCTCGGAATGCGGATCTGGTATAGTTCACGAGGGGTCGTGGCCCTGTGAGCACGACTCCAGTTCAATTTACTTGAGATCGCGGCCCTGGGAGCGCGGATCCTTTTTGTAGTTTATGAGGGATTATGGCCCTGGAAGCGTGGATCCGATGTAAGTTGTTTGAAATCGTGGCCCAACCAGGGCTGATTCAGGTTAACCTGAGGGGCTTCGTCCTCTGCCGCTGGCCCCCCTCTCAGCTTGCTTCCATGGCCACGCTTGGCGAGTAGGTTGGTTGGCTTTCTTGTCGGTTGGCTCTCTGGCAACCCGGTTGATTGGCTTGATGTCTATGTTGAACTATTGGCCATTGGTTTGGGCTGTTTGCTGGTTGGGCGGTTGTGCGCATCTGTAATGATGCATGAGGGATGGTGGCCTCGGGGGCGCGCCTCCTTCGTAATTTACTAGGGTTCCCGGCTTTTCCCAAACCCTCCTGTGCGTTGGGTCTTCGTTTTGAATTCGCAGTGCCGCGCGTCTCCTCTCCTCTCCTCCTGCTCTCCTCCTCCTCACTCCTGCCTCCACCTCCTCATCTTCCTCTTCCTTCTTCCCACCACCACCACCACTAACCACAACCACCACCACCACCGCCACCACCACCACCACCACCACCACCACCACCGCCGCCGCCGCCGCCCACCCCACCACACCACCACCACCACCACCACCACCACCACCACCACCACCACCACCACCACCACCACCACCACCACCACCACCACCACCACCACCACCACCACCACCACCACCACCACCACCACCACCACCACCACCACCACCACCACCACCACCACCACCACCACCACCACCACCACCACCACCACCACCACCACTATTTCGGCACCCCCCTCAAACGTTTCGTGGCCCTAGAGGGAGCTCCGCCGAAGGCCCTAGTGGCAGGGTTCGCATGCGTACTCGGGCCCATTTTCTGGGAGAGCCCTCACACAGTTCGTGGCACCACAGGAGTCTCAGCGTGGCAGGGTTCGCATGCGTACCCGGGTAAGTTCATCACACTTCACACGTTTCGTGGCCTATAGGGAGCTCCACCGAAGGCCCTAGTGGCAGGGTTCGCATGCGTACTAGGGCATATTCTGGCGCACCATTCACACGTTTCGCGGCCCCATAGGCTCCAGTGGCAGGGTTCGCATGCGTACTCGGGTCCATTGGCACCCGTCGCACGTTTCGTGGCCCCACAGGGACCTCCACAGAAGGCTCCAGTGGCAGGGTTCGCATGCGTACTCGGGTCCATCCTGACGCACCCCTCATACCTTTCGTGGCCCCATAGGGAGCTCCACCGAAGGCTCCAGTGACATGGTTCGCATTCATACTCGGGTCCATTCGGCACACGCCTCACACGGTTCGTCGCTCCACCGAAGGCTCCAGTGGCAGGGTTCGCATGCGTATTCGGGTCCACTGTGGCACACACTCAAACGTTTCGTGGCCACATAGGGAGCTCTATCGAGGGCTTCGGTAGCAGGGTTCGCATGCGTACTCGGGTCCACTTCGTCACACCCTTCACACGTTTCGTGGCCCATAGGTTGCTCCACCGAAAGCCCCAGTGAGAGTGCATGCTTGAATTGGGGGACTTTGAGTGTAGTTTTCCGTTTCTCCGCAATGCGTTTAGGGGTATTGCATATTTTTCAGTATGTTCATGTGCATTTATCGCCCTTGCTAATCCACGCCACGTGTTTTCAATGGGTTGTGTTCTTCGCCAGGGTAGTCAGGAACTCGTGGCCTCGCGCCCCGAATCGAATTCCGAGGAACGATGGGCGGCCGAACAGCTCTCTCCGAACACATCTCCCCAAACGGAACCTGACACTGCTTCTGCTCTGGAGGGGATTGGCGCTTTTGGGCGGCCTCCGTGGGAGGGTTCGCGGAGCGCCAGCGCGCAGTGGTTCACGAGGGATTGCGCCGTCAGGGTCGCAACCCCGTCGAGATGCACGAGGGTTGGTGGCCTCTGGCGCGCGGGCCTGTCTCAGGCCGAGAGGGATTGGGGCCTGGGGAGCGCGAGTTGGGAGTACTTTCGGGGAGTTGTGTCTTCGAGAGTATGACTTTGGGCTGGTCTGAAAGGATCGTGGCCTCGAGACTGGCCGAAAACGTGATCCAGCCAGACTTGGCCGTGATCCCGCGCTGAGCAGCCCAGCACCCCGAAGGGATCTGGAACTGAGCGCCCAACCTACGCTGCAGCTCAGAAGGCAAAGAGGACCAGGAAGAGCACCAGGTCCACGTGCAAGGCTGGTGGGGACACGCGAAGCGTCAAGGCTTACGCCACATTCGGGCTCCCGAGGCCAGAACCCCATCACAAGCGACTGCAAGCCTGCGTCCCCAAGTCCACGTGGACCTGGTGCTCTTCCTGGTCCTCTTTGCCTTCTGAGCTGCAGCGTAGGTTGGGCGCTCAGTTCCAGATCCCTTCGGGGTGCTGGGCTGCTCAGCGCGGGATCACGGCCAAGTCTGGCTGGATCACGTTTTCGGCCAGGCCCTCGGTCGAGCGCTGGGCCCAGTTGCAGGTCGCGGCCTGTCGCCTCCGCTTCGTCATCCTTGAAGTCCTTCCTCCGCCTGGCGAGGCCTCTGGCACTGGAGCTACGCGGCCGCTGTCGGCCGCTGCGGTGGTGGCGGCGTGGGGCCTCCCTGGCGGCCCCCGCAACGACCCTGGCGGCGCCCGAATCGACGGCGGCAGCCGCGGGGCTGATTCCGACGACGACAACGGCGATGACGACGACGACGACGACGACGACGACGACGACGACGACGACGACGACGACGACGACGACGACGACGACGACGACGACGACGACGACGACGACGACGACGACGACGACGTCGGCCCCCCCCCCCGCATACGGCGTTTAGGTGGTTGCGGACCCAGCGCCCCCAGACTCGACGCTCTGGAGGGGCCCCGTGCTGGGTGATCCCCGCTACGAAACGACGGCGCCACAGCCCTCGGCGAAGCAACCCTGGCGAGGCGAGGGCCCCGGCACCGGCGGCGAGGCGGCGACCCCACGACGCGGCGGCGGTGGCCCCCGGCGCGGCGGATTCGACAGGCGGGACGACGTCGACCCTGACGCCTCCCGACTTCCGCAGTCCAGGTTTGTAGGTGGTGGTCGGGGTGGTCCCGGTGGTGCGGGTGGTAACGCCTGCTCGGACCAAGCACCGGTCCCCTCCCCCCGACGATTCCCCCTCGCGACCAGGAGCGCCCTTGGTCCTAGTGTAACGTTCGGCTCTACGGACGCCTGCGGGCTTCTCGTGCTCGCGTGGCGCCTCGTCGCTGCCAGTTGTATGGCGCCGTTTGTTGTTTGCTTGTTTCCTTTTCTTCTTCTTCGTCTTCTTCTTCTTCTTCTTGTCCTTCTTCTTCTTTCCTCTTGTCGGAGGTGAGGGGGTGAGATCGAAGTGGAACGGAGAGTCCCCCTACCGGGAAATCGATTTCGGTTTCGTGTTCGTGCGTGCCGTGCGCGCGCGCGAGGCGAAGCTGCGTGGGCGGGCGAGAGGAAAGTCTCCTGTGGCTGAGGCGCGGCCGGACCAAATGTGTCTCTTCCGGGCGGCCGGTGGCGCGCGGTGTCCCGCCGGTGTCCCGCTGGTGTCCCGTCGGTGTCCCTGTGGCTGAGGCAAGGCCGACCAAATGTGTCTCTTCCGGGCGGCCGGTGGCGCGCGGTGTCCCGCCGGTGTCCCGCTGGTGTCCCGTCGGTGTCCCGCGGTGTCCCGCGGTGCCCCGCGGTGTCCCGCCGGTGTCCCGCGGTGTCCCGCGATGATGATGATGATGATGATGATGATGATGATGATGATGATGATGATGATGATGATGATGATGATGATGATGATGATGATGATGATGATGATGATGATGATGATGATGATGATGATGATGATGATGATGATGATGATGATGATGATGATGATGGATGATGATGATGGATGATGATGATGATGATGATGATGATGATGATGATGATGATGATGATGATGATGCTGATGATGATGATGATGCTGATGATGATGATGATGATGATGATGATGATGATGATGATGATGATGATGATGATGATGATGATGATGATGATGATGATGATGATGATGATGATGATGATGATGATGATGATGATGATGATGATGATGATGATGATGCTGATGATGATGATGATGATGATGATGATGATGATGATGTCGATGATGATGATGATGATGACGATGATGATGATGAT